TCCTCTATACAAAAACGAGGTTAACCCTAAGCAACAGACTAACTCGAAACTGCAGTATTCTGTTTTAATATCATCTATATTTTGCAGACCATAAGAATCCAATAGAAAGCAAAGACGTCAGAAATACAGTTAGTGARGATGACAAGGATGTGGATGAGTCTGAAACACTCACAGAAGGAGCCAAACCCAGTGCAATGGTCAGTTAATTTTCTTATATAGATTGGGATATGTCGTTTCTTTCTTGCACCGTAGTTAATATTAACTATGCTTACGCAACATGGCTGTGTTCCTTGATTACAGTCTCACTCACTCAGGATTAGCATTTCAATTTAGGTCAAAATATTTACAAATACCAACGGTAAAGTAAAGATTTCACAACTTTGAAAGTAAAACAAATTTGAAATTGAACTAAGAACTAAAAAACTCGCGGGTGATTGGGATTGGCACGAGAGAAGTGTTAGGAGAAGCACGRCGCGTAGTGGAGTACTTCTCGACAAATCTYGGGTGTTCAGCTTACCCCCAAGTGCTGTGTAATTGCGCACAGTACAGGAAGCAGGCTTTTTCGTTTCTTTTATAAAAGACAAACTTACAATACATCATTTTGGATAGGAATAAAGTGCGCGCGTGTGCTGTACGCTCTCATAAAGCGTAGTAGTTATTTCATAAAGTCCTCCTCTGGAGCACATAAATGTTCTAAACGAAAGTGAATCTAACAAAGAATTTGAAACTTTTTCAAATATCCAAACTAATTTCCTGTGGGAAAAACGAAAATTGCGTATAGGAGCAAATGAGGCAACATGTTTCAAAATAGCCAAGCCAAAAATATATAACACAAATACTGGCATTTAATGTGTGTTGACGAACTTTACTTCACTTTTCGTCCAGGTTGGATTTGACGATTATTCMATTGACGACAACGCAATTATCATATACAACAGGGTACCTAAAACAGCCAGTACCAGCTTCATGGGCGTAGTCTACGATCTGTGTGAACAGAACTCCTTTCATTCCATACATCTAAATATCACCAAGAACCAGCATGTTTTATCTGTAGCAGATCAGCTCAGACTTGCTAACAACATTACTCGATGGACAGACAGACTGCCAGCCTTATACCATGGTCACGTAGAATACATTAATTTTCGAAAACTTGGCGTTTCTAAACGAATTTTCTACATCAATATTATAAGAAAACCATTAGATAGATTGGTGTCTTATTACTACTTTTTGAGATTTGGAGATACGTTTAGACCTTATAAAAGACGGTCACGACGAGGAGACAAAGAGGTGGGGCTTGAATATCTTAAATTTTTAAGATAAACCTACTTGCAGCAAGGTTGTCATACAAGAATRGAACATTTGTAATTTAGTGAGAAAGGAATTCATTAAAAGACAAGAGAAAAAGTTCAGCTTCAKTGATTTTCTTTTGTATTTTAATGTATTSCTATCCCAATAAATCATTAATGTTCTATTTTCGTATGACAACGTTCTTGCAARTAGGTGTATGCACTAGTCATGCAATTGAAACCCTCCACTGCTGTTGTTTGAGGATTCTATTTCCATTTTCATTGTATCTTTTATAGCGATACTTTCTGTTTCAACTAGCAAAACCATTCCAGCTGATATGGAAAAAGAATGTTAGCCAATCAGAATCGAGAAAAACTGAGTGTTCATGCACTTTTTCAGTGCTTGATAAGAGTATGCCAATAAATAACGAATTATATATTCTTATTTCAATGGCGTACATCTCTTTACTTTCTCTGGTCAATTTTCCGCACGCTCCATGACACCTCAATTTTGCAGTGACGTCATTTCTACGCCACTATTTCAGATCAGCCGGTTGTTGATGTTAATTCGCCTACCACTCTCAAAAGAACTCGTTACAAGTTGCTTTGTGTCACCAGCCAATCGATCTCTGGTTGGCACGTGATAACAAAGGCTTATGTCACATGAAGTATCGCTATATAACAAGTTTTGTTTTATTCCAGACGTTTGACGAATGTGTCCAAGAACAACATAGAGATTGTAAACCAGAAAGGCTTTGGCTACAGATCCCATTTTTCTGCGGTCACGCACCTCAATGTCAGTAAGTATAGTAAATCACGTATTGCAACATAGCTACAAAGTAAATATCTTGCGTTACAACTTCCGACACGCATCCCAATGTCAGTGACACTAGAGAAAAACGTTTGCGCATGCGTGCATTTTACAACGTTTTCTAAGAATTTTGAAGAGTTTAAGTGAGAAAATAAATGTTTTTTTTTTCTCCAAGTATACTAAAAAATTCGAGAGTATACTTTTGTCAGACCAAGATACTGTATTAAGAAACACAATATGAAAGAATTAGCCTTAAGTTTCAAGCATGGACACTAAAGTTTTGACATTTTGTGAAGTCCAATTTATCAGGCATGTTTGAAAGCCAAATTTACTTATTTTTTGACTAATTTGCATACGGATTCAGAGCATGCGCAGACGTTTTTCACGTACTATATCATACTTACAAAGATGTCCGCCTCAATCGTATTTCAGTCTCCTGCATGTTTTTGCAGGAACATGACAAAGCAGAAYAGTTTTTGAAGTATTCAAGTCATTTGTTTTTTCATGATCATGACTAGTTGATCATGACCGTTTATAACAGTCTCGTCGTTGAATCCATATCTTTTCGAGAAGCTTCATTTTTTTGTAAACTTTTCATACAAAATTAAAATGCTATGCCTTTTCTCTTAAAGATGACGTCACAACCACCAACCAATCAGCGTGCGAGTTATTTTTAGCCTAGCTAGCAGTCTTATGGACAAGTGAAATGAATCTAGTTGGACTCCCCTAGTAAATTTCCCCTGATGTCAGAAAGTAAAGCAAGTCATGTTAACATGCTAAATGTTGCATTACCCACTTTTCCTTCTGTGTTCCTCCAGATCTCCTGGTAATAGATGGGCTCTTGAACAAGCAAAGCGGCACTTGATTGAAGATTATTTGTTAGTCGGGCTGACTGAAGAACTAGCGGATTTTGTAATGGTGCTAGAATCAGTCTTACCAAGATTCTTTAAAGGAGCTACCAAAGTGTTTCTTGAAGGTGAGTAGCACTGCCTTGTGATGTCATGGTTTCCATTGGCTGATCGAGGAATAAGTATTTACCTTCGTACTTCTACATCCCTCACTAGGAATGCGATCAAAATGCCCGAAATACCACCCCCCAAGAATATAAAGTTCTATACTGATCTATTTCCTGGGGTAGTCCCACACACCTCTCTCCCCCAGACATACAAACGTCTGTAAATTTGTCAATTTTCAACTTGAGTTTTCTCGGCCGATATAACACCTGACATAATGAATCTTTGTAGGGTTACTAAAGTAAAGGTGCTCTCTCCAGTGCTGGTATTGGTTTTTCTCTCAGTTTAATTTTAACTCAAYTGAATTCGCGGCMGCCATTTTGGCAAGGGGTCTATTGCATCTCTGGATAGTGCCCAAATGATGATAAGTCGTATCGTATTTGATTTATCCAAGAGAGCATAATTAAAAGAGGGAAACGTCTTATTGTTGCGCGCGCCATGTAAATTCCCTTTTGAGCTATTTTTAGTAACCGGATGCAGTTTAAATTTCGCTTTACCCTACTCCCGTGCGTCAACTAGTGCATGCGCGCTCTTTCCGTTTGTTTTTAGTGACCTGCGCCTAACCTACCTTCTAACGTTGTTCATCTTTAACTTACAGGCAACAAATCTCACTTACGCAAAACAGCATCCAAGAAACCCCTGGAAGAAAGCACAATTCTACATTTCCAGCAGAACAAAATATGGAAAATGGAAAATGAGTTTTATGAATTCGCCAAAAAAGTTTTTTATACTGAAAAGAAAAGAACTATGCTACAGAGGAACAGAGACGTGGTGTCTTCTCCTGTGCAGTTTTTTTACGAAAAAATTCGGCCCAAAAGTTAGCAGGGTTTAAGGGTTTATAAAGGACAGTAAATATAACTATTTGTAAAGAAACTAAATACGACCTTCCAGCGCGATTCGTAATTTAGTACTTTCCTAGCGCTTCTCACTATAAATTCTTTATTACTGCTATTTTCAAAAACATGATAGCTGCGAGGTGCACGCTGAAAATTTTCTTTTCTTTTTTTATTCTTTGTTTTTCTTTTGTTTTTGTTTTTGTTTTTTGGTTTTTTTTAATAATCTTTTTTGTTTTTTTTCTTTTCTTTTCTTTTTTCTAATCTAATTTTCTAATTAACCTAATCTGTCGGTACCTTTCATATTTCCGACTGACGGCAGCGAAAAAACAAATTCCAACGGGCAAATCGCAACTCCAGAGTTTGCATGTTTATGCCGAAAAATAGCAGTAAAACGAAGTTTTCTAACGACAAGTAAAACTACAAATCTTTGGAGTTTGTGAGAAGCCCCATTTAAATAGTAAAAAAAGATTAACTAAACTTAAAGAAGAAAGATAACGAAAGAAAAATCCTTGATAGCACAATTCAAAAACGTCTGACCACATGCTATTCGTCTGTATGCGAATTAACAAAAACATCTTGGTGTTGTAGAGATAAATTATTTTTTGCTTTCGGTAGTTTTTCTTGAAATAGAGTGTTTATACTGTAAAAATAAATGTTTAATGTTGACATATTGTAGAATATTTGTCAGACAAGTTTGGAAGTCATCTTTACTATTTGCATGATTTGYAAATGTTTTGAGGCACAGCAATATTGCACATAAAACTTTGCAATATATAGACTTTAGCTTAGTTTAGCATTGCTTCAATCTAATTATTTYTAAGTGAAAAAATACTATAATTTGAAGACGTTTCGATCCGTGACCAGGGATCTTCCTCA